TGAAGAAGTCTTACTTGTAAATCACAAAACTTAATTCTCACATCTTACGTCTATAGCCCCCTAAAACCCAATGTTCCTTGTTCTCCCCATTGTCTAAATTTGAAGCCTTAAGGTGTATGTTATTCAGGCTCCTTTTTCATCAGGGAAAGTGTATGTTCGAACACAAAGCTAGCATTCACTTTATGAAAACTATCTTAATTGCACTGGCAGATACTGTCTGATATGCCTTTTTTATCTGTATATTCATTGAACGTATCGTTTGCAGTAGCTACTGGAATTCCCCACTTCTGTTTTTATCTTAGAGCCCTTGTACTGTGCTGAAATCATTCTCATCAGAATCTCTGAGGACCAGTTCCCCAGCCACATCACAGAAACGGTACTATCACACTTGTCTTTTAGATATCATTGATTATGTTCTTCTAATTGAAATCTTTTCTTCTGAAAGCATTTTCTCTTTCAATTGGAGAGTCCTCATCTTATTTCCTCTAAATTTCCTTTGAAGGTTCTCCGATTTAGTTTGCAAGCCCACATTCAACTTCTGTATCCGTGCAGATGGTTTGCATCTGACTCATGATGCATTTTTTTATTTGAATGGAATAATATTGAAATATAGGCTTATTTATATCACTATACATACATCTGACTAGTGTTTTAAGAATATTCAATATATGCTGCATTGTCCTTTGTCCCTCTTACTGATAGTCTTCCACCTTCTGATCAGTAGAGATAGTCTCACTATTTGCCTGTCCCTCAGAATCATTAATTCTGTTTTAGAGTTATCTTAGATCTCTCTCCAGTCTCTTACTTAATTGCTTTTCTAAAAAGAGTATATACTATTTTTCTTGTATAATAATATCTAGAATATAGAATTATTTCTGGATTTATACAGCTAAAAAACTGTTCTGGGCTTTTACATTATACAGTTCAATTTAAGCAAAGCCTTTTGCCCTGTTGCTTTGTCTTCCTCATGTTCATTCAAAATATTATTCTGAATATGACTTGTATGGCCTGTCACTTTCATTGTGTCACACTCTGGGTATATTATTTTATTTCTTGTGCAGTTTAAGATTTGCGGTGTTTTTACACAGTGACAGAACTGTATGCTTGGCAAATGAGGGATGGTTGTCCACAAGACGGTAACAGTTGTAGCGCATCACCATAGAGCATAAATTCTAGTGAAAAATCCATTGAAATGCACAGGACCTCATGGTGCGCAAGATCCCCCAAACTGAACGTAGAAAACACAGAAGCCGAGCTTCTGCATGTCATATATAAAAATGCAGTTGAGGAAATCCTCAAGGAAATCCTTGAGCAAGTGCTTCAGCTGCGTTTTTCAGTGCAGAATCCTCTGCTTCTTTTTGGGTCCTTGTGCTTTATTTTTCCTCTCTGTCTCTTGTCAGAAGAGAAAAATGGACAGTAAAATTAAGAGTGCCAGAGGAGTTGTCTTTTGCTGTGACATCGCCTGAAAAGAGCTGAGGTGATTGTTTCCCCTCTTAAGAAGGAAAAAGGGAACTGGAACAAAAAGGCTGGCTGAAGTGTATACAACTGGGAACAGAGTTTGAGCATTCCTTGTTTTGTGTCAGAAAACTTAAAGTACTGCTGTGTCCAAAACTGGTTGCATGTAAAATGTGTCAGAGAACTCTTCTAATCTGATTGTTATAAGTTATCCTTGGAGAGACCAAATTCTGCTCTCCTGAAGTCCATGGCTTTCTTCTTTCCTTCCTTGTTGCCCCAAGCATAGAGGCATTTAACTGGGCCCCGAGTGAAGCTGTCTGGAGTGGCTGGAATTCCTTGGTGTTCTTTCAAGTGTTCCATGTTTACCATTATTACTATGTTTTACTTCATTTTTGATTATTAAACTGTTCTTATCTTAACATACAAGTTTTACTTTGATTCTCTTTCCTGTTCCGTGTGGTGGTGAGGAAAGGAGGGTTTGAGTAAGTAGTTGAGTGGTGCTTAGTTTCCAGCTAGGCTTAAAATCGTGACACCTAGCTTCTTAATGGTAAAGTACAATTTATTCTGTAGTAATTCGGTCATTGCATAAAACATTATGGCCCACAGATTAGTTTGCTTTTATGATGAAATTGGTGTAGTGTAAAATAAAGGAAGCAAGAAATCATGCTACTATTGTGTTAAAATCTCTGGAAATAATTAATTTAAGCCAAAGTGAAACTGAATCAGCTAATATGTTTTAGTAGCTGCATTGTGTATGCTATCAGGCTTACTGCTCCATATTGCTCTCTACAGCATCCTGATGCAGAACTCATAATTCCTTTCCGATGTCTATCTCAAATTTGTTAGGCTGATAGTAACACATCTTGTGATTTTGAACCTAGTGTCGTGACTACACAGCCATCATGGTTGTGCTGGTTGGTGACATCTGATGTCTGCTGGAATGAGCATTGTGTGAAATTATAATGAACTTTCTTCCTGAGGACATGGAAAGTCTCTGCTCTCTGTTAGGTTCCTTTAGAAATTTTAAGTAACCTAATACCCTGAGATAATTCTTTCATCTACTAAATCCTTTGCTAAATTCAGAGGGCCTTGACTGAGAGGTTCCAAATTTTATGTAGCTAGGTTGGAGATCATTGAAAGACAGCTCTGATGTGTATTTGCTTTTATTTTGTAAATTGGACTTAATATAACACCCTGATTTAACTAGTAAGATTGTACACACACAACATATATATATATGAAAAGAGGCAGATGGGGTATTCTGGATTGTAGTCTTATACTTGTTTAGGAAAAAAAATTATACCTAACGTACATTAAAAAAAATCTCTTCATACTAGTGAATATACTGTTCTGAGAGAAAACTGGTTTCCTGCACGATTTAATGGGTCCTTCAAAGGGAACCTGCATCTGGGCAAAAAAAAATCAGCAGAAGATCACTGTTCCTGCTCTTCAGTTTTATCCTGGTTGCCCTAAAAATTCTAAAATAGAACAAATAAACTCAGTACAGGCTACAGTTGTGTTTGTCATGTCTTTGATAATGCCTGCTGTGCAGACAAATTCTAAGTCTTCACTGTTGTTAAAATACAGAGTAGTTTCGGTATGTCAGAGGGGAAGTGCTAGGAAATAGTAAATAGCATTTATAAATGTATTGCAGTTTGAACAGGACATGTGCTACATTTTGAACAAAACCCAAGTTTATCCCCTAAATCCACATTTCAACACTCATTCTATTTAATGCAACTGTTTGCCTCTGTATATTGTTCAGTGGTGCTTATCAAAGTCCTCAGTTGGCCCAGTCCATGAGTCTGGAACTTTGAGTCAAAAAACCTCCCTCTTGTTAAAAATACTTTTTGTTAAGGAGAAACTGGTGAAAGTTGTAGTTTGATGTCGTCATTACATAAGCAAACTTTTAGTGTCCAATAGAAAGAAAACTCCTGAGTTTGGTTAGGGGAAGTGTAGTAGAATTCATGCATCTTTTGGTAACTTATTTTCTCCTGTCATATAAGGATACATTTGATTGCTGCTAAATCTCATGGCTCACTTTTGAAAAGATGTGTGAAACTTAATGGATCATTCCATAACCAGCATGCAAGCAAAAATAGACTCTGTCTCTGATTATTAATGGGATTTTTTCTTTTTTTTTTTTGTGAAACCAGTTTAATTCCAGCAGTATTATAAGAATAAAAATCAGGATTCAGCACAAAGTTGTTTTATTAATATAAGATTAGTTGGCATATGGTATTACTTGAGTCTGATAAAAGGAATAAAAATGTTACGGATGGGTAAGTGGGCACATGATTAATGAATATTTCCATAACTGAGACACTCCCTATTACCATTTTCACAGTTTGAGTGGTTTTTGCACTCTTTTTTTAACAGCATTAAAGTAAATTGCAGAATTTTGCTACGACAATGTTTAACCTATGTCCTGTTGAACCACGACACCTGTAAACTAAATTGTATTTGGGAATCATTTGCAAACATTGGTAGTGTACAGAATGAATAGATTTTGTTAGTTGTTTGGAAGTCCTGGAATAAGTTGAAGCTGCATTTATTACATTATCATATTTTCATTTTTTTCTGTCAAAGATGTACATCTGAAATTTGGAAGGATGCAAATTTTCTTTTTAACACCATCAAACAGTTGTAGTCTGTCTCCATGATCAGTTTCTTACAGTTTAGGTAACCTATAGCTAATTAGAATGAGGTTGATAATATGTGCTTTCTCTACTTCTGGCTTATTTACTTTGCAATTCATTAAAATATCTTTGCTGTTTCTGAGGGTAATTTACAAGCAATAAAGTTAGTTTCTCAGTGTTAAAAGTGCATTCTTTTTCTTAAGAGTGTTATTAATTTTGAGGACTGATAGTAAGAGATTAAGAAATATACAGTCTTTGGACTAAGTCAGGTTATGAGACCTTGGAATTTACATTGACTTATGCTGAACTAGAGGTCCTTGAAGGCTGTTTCGCAGAGCCCTCTGTTTTCAGAGCCCTGTTTTTTCAGAGTTTTAAATCCAGATAGTGGCTGCTCTTACGGTTTACAGCAGTGCCAGAAAAGAAGTGTATCCTAGAGCCTGCACTGATAGGTACTGATATTTACAAGTAGTCTATTGTTAGAGAAGAACATGTTAATAAAAGCAAAAAAAACCCTAAACATATATTAATATACACATGCAGGGGGTTTTTACTATGTGAGAGGTTTTTATTTTATGTTTTCAAATCACTGTCCTTTTAAAATGACAGGTATTTCAGGAGAACTGAGAATTATGTCCCATGCATTTAAAGTGTAACAGAATTTTGGTTTTCTTTATACTTAAAATAATTGCACAAAATAGTTATGGAAATAGAGAATTTCTCAGCAGATAAGTTGATCTGAGTAGCTTAATCCAGCTGATGTTGACACTTACAGGTTTGTATCAGTAGAGGCTTAGCCCGTGTCTTTTATTTAAATTAAATTCAGAAGTCTACATGGCACATTCTCCATTAAATCAATTATCATGCAGGTTTGCTTGTTTTCACTGGCGATTCTTCTTTTTCTACTAGGATAAGAAGGACAAAGTCTCAAGATTTGACACCATACGTCATTCCATAGCGGGAATTATAAGGTCTCCAAAATCCATGTTGGGCTCATCATCGGTAAGTAGTATCAATAATACAGTGTTGGGATACAATCTGTTATTTTTACATCTTAAGTAGAATTTTTTTGTTTTTTTTAAACATTCATTTCTATCTAAATGGACAAAAATTACATTAAAATAATGTTATAAAAACACTATTCTGATTGATCAGCATATATGATAACATCATGGCATAATGATGTGTCAGAACAACTTGCTGCATTTCAGGGAAAAAGTGTGCTCTTGGCAGCTCTCAGACTGGTGCTATAATTTTAAGAGTACTCTTCCCAGTGAGGCTGATTTTCTTGAAATGCACTGTCTTATGATAGGTAGTCATGCATATTTTACAAATGGTTGCAGTAATTCCCCATATTTGTTATTATTGCTACTGCTACTACTACTGCTGGTGCTATTTAAGTAACTAAGTATTACAGATCTTGCTTCAGTCCCCACAAAAAATAATTGTTGAGTATCTCTTAGTTATAGTTGGCTTTTATTCAGATTCTGTAGTGGTTGGAGAAACTTTCTGGTTTTTTTTGCTTCTGTATTTCCACTGTTTGTTTCATATGGAGAATGCAAGACTAGTGAGAATATTTGAGCACCTACTTAGGGACGTGTCAAATTTTACTTATAAACCGTCTTCTTCTTCTTTCTCCAAGTGGAACATGTGATCATCCCAATCCTCCTAACATAAAAACCAAAACTAAAAAAAAAAAACCAAACAAAAGAAAAAAAAACCCTCAACAAAAAAATTGGGCAGAGTTTTAAAAACTGTTTAAAACTGCCTTTTAATTGTGATCTTGTCACCTGAAATATTAGCTCAAAATAGCATTCTTGAGAAAACTGTATAAACAATGGATCTTCTATTTTGTGCTCAGGATTGCAGCCAAAGATCCATGAAAAGATGCAGTAAACTGTGTTTAAGCTAAACAATATTCAGAATGTGCGGAAGAGATTACAATTGCATATGTACATATATATAAATATACGTGTGTACAGAACAAAATTGTATATAGGAATGAAGGAATGGAAAAATAAATATGATGGGATAAAATTAGGACAGGAAGGCTTTTCCTATGAAAAATGTGAAAGCTGCTTGACATATTTGAAAAGTAACAGGAAAAACCTCGCTAAAATATTGAAATATCCTGGAGTTAAACAAAATCTCCACAGTATCAAGATCTTAATTTTATAAGACTTCTAATTGATATAAAGTTTCAGCATTTCATAATAAAAACCTACTAAAATGTGTATTCCTGGACCTCTGTTCTTTATGTAGGTGAGACACAGCCTTCAACTTTGTCTATTTCTGTGTGTTATAAAACTTAAAATTAAAAAAAAACAAAACAAGCCAAAACCCCCACAAACCACAAAACAAAAGCAGTTCCTCTGACTAAAACTGCTTCAGAGAAAAATCGGAAGACAAAAATTCTCAAGAGGAGGATCAAAATAAAGCGTTTTTATTAAATCAGGAGAAGTCAATGTCAAAATTTCAATTGGCCTAAAGTGTCCTTTTAAATAAGCTATGTGCCAACATTCTGGTTTTCATTCCAATGTATATCTCTGTTAATTCCATGGAACTTGGTGTAAACCTGGCTGTAGATAGATGGTAGGTAGCATTGGCGAAACCTTGGAATACATTTGGGAGAAGTAAGATGAGCTTTGAGTCATTTAAGTCAGAAAGTAAAATCTGAATAACAACTGTAATCTTGATTATCTTTTGCTTAAATGACACCTACATGACTTCAGAGTCAGAATATATAAACCACTCAATTTTCAGTTTTGCTTTGTGTTTAGATTTAGCTATTTCTTGTGTGTTAGAAAAGCTAACCATGCATATACAGCTAAAATTTGCTTCACAAATTAGTACTTAGCTACTAATGTTTCAGCTGCTCATCTGTTTCCCACTGACAATTACATAACCATGCTTAATTGCTAAATATATAAACTGGTACTTAAAGCTTATTATCCATCAACAAAGTATACAAAGTAATTATTGAAGGTGTATTATGAAGTAATATTAACATACATGAAAGAATTTGCTATTTTTATATAAATTTTTAAAAAATATTTGTATATAATAATAATAAAAAAGAGATCTCAGAGCAGATTTGGACTGGTACTGATCCTCTGATAGAGCATAGTCTAAAATGTGATGTTAACTACTTGTTGTCAAATCATGTGTTTTATGTATATTGAAACTTTAGAAGTGGAGCAATATCTAATTTAAATGTAATGGTATTCTAAAAGTAACATCCCGTATTTAATTGGTGGGAGATGTTGAATTTTGTCTGTTTGAATTAAGGAAAACTAGTTTTTTGTGTGTTATCTGAAAAAAGTCATAGAGAAACTGTAATTCCAAAAGCAGAGAGGAATTTAACTATTACTTATGTATTGGCACTGAAATGATTTACATGTTCTCAGAATGAGAAGATATGGGGTAATACAGGAAAAAAGTATAGTTTGAAGAGAAAACAAGAAAGCTAGGGATTCAGGAGTTTTCTCTTGGACAAAATGCAAACCAATTTTCTATAATAGCAGGATATATAAGTTTAATCAAATGAGGAGAGAAAATACAAGAAAGGGGACAGCTTACTTGTACTGGAAATGAAGTGCTACACCTAAACTGAAAGAACTGTCAGTGTCTGCCCTTCTGCATATTTTTTTTGGTACTCAGGCATTTGAGCATGACACAAACATCTGTTACTTTTTATAGGATAATTTTTTTATTGTTTATAGGATAATATGTGGAATTAATGTTTGTTTCATATGGTATATCAGCATGTGGGAATGAGCCAGGTACACAGAATCTAAAGGCAGGATGTTGCATAGGGAATTGTCTCAAATTATCAACCTAAATTTACTGCTTTACCTTCTCATTTTTATCTCTGCCACCCTTTTACGCTGTGAGAAAAAAATGTCTTGACAAAATGTTTTGTTTGCTTAAAGATGTAAAATAACGAAGTACAGAACATTTGCGTTCAGAATATATGTGAAAATACAATACTGAGCGTGCTATTAGTTTAATAACATCTCGTCCCCATTATAGTTTTTATTTCACTGGCAGTATAAGTACAAGAATAATATGTAATTTTTTTTGAGTTAGAAATAATACACTGCAGTTTGCTCAATTTTTCTCTTGAAATAAGGGCAGCAACTGGGGACTGCTTCATTTCACTGTTGGAGAAAAACTGCTGTTTCAATGGATTGTTAAATAGGGAGAGAGAAATGGGCTCAATGTAAGTAAAGAGGACAGTACTAGATCCATGAGAAACATGATGAAGTGTATCAGGCCATTTTACTCCTCTTAGAAGAAAAAGTGTGAATATGTATATAAGGACACACCCACCAGCCCCAATAACCTGGGAGTGAAATCTGGAAATAAATGGAAATCTTGAAAGAAAAAAAAAAAAGGAAAAAAAAAAGAGGGATTGGGAGGGAGAGTAGAAATTTGACAGTCTGAGTTCCTTTCCTTCTGTATGATTTTGTTAATTTTTTATCTTTAGCTTTCTTACAAATTAACAACAAAAATCCTAGAAAAATATTTCTTCATTTAGGCTGTTAATGCACAAAGTGCTTCTGTAAGTGTACATACCAATGTGCAAGAGATCCCATCCTCCAAATGAAATTGTAAAATATTGTTTTTTCAGGTATCTAATTAGTGATATTAAGTTGCTTGATGATATTTAAAATCAATAGAGTTTAAAGAAAAGGGGTAGGAATTTAATTTTGTGCAGATGGCTTTTTTCCCCTGTATTTTCCTTAAAAATTAACCTTTCCTTTAATGCTAACTATAAAATACAGTAGAAATATTGCCACTTATAGTGGTATAAACTGAGTTGAAATCAATATTAAGAGGTTATGTATCTTGCATTTGTACTGTTCTTTCTGGGCTTTCAGCCATGTTTGATTCCATAACCAGTCAGGGTGAATATTGTATCATGTAGAAAATATGTTAGAGTCAGAAGACTTGTTCATAAAAGTAGTGCAATTTTAATAACACTCCAAACACAAATAATTACTGCTTACGTTGTCAGAAAAACCACCTTGATTTTAATTGTCCCATAGTTTATGACAAAAAGCAAAGGTAATATAAGGTAGAGAACAATCAACAAAGGAAACTTTGTGGAATTTTCTTTGTTTTCTTCTAAAGTAATAAATATTAATTTAATCAAATTTCAAAGAGGTGGAAGATTGATGATAGTGTCACAGACAACATGATAGTTAACAATGTCTAAAATGCTCTGTTTTTCTTCCATAAGCTCTTTCTCTGTTACAAAGACTTTTAAGATGTTTTATTCTGGAATGTGATCCTGAAGGAAGCAATAAATGAATTGCATGTCAGATTTATTTTTTGTTTTAGCCTTCCTTTGTGAAGACATGAAGTAGTTTAGTGACCCTGAACTGTCCTTTTATCCTTGGAAACATTTCCTCTCAAGTAGAAATATGTTTCTGTGGTAAAGGGTTTGCTGCTTTGAACCCCTGAATATAACAGAGGCCTGGGTTTTCTTTCAAGTCAGACTGAGTGTCTTTGAACAATAAACGTTCAAGTAAATAATGTCATCTAACATTTTGAAAGCTTATTTTTTTCTTTTAGGAATTTCTGAAAGAAAATGTTAACGGTGGTAGACAGCTCTCATGTGAGATGTATTTAACTATTTATGGCATTGAAATGTCTGACTACCTTCTTGGCCAATCAATATCTCCGCTTTTTAGCAGTTCATTGTGCTTATGAACACAGAGCCTGGGAGTACAGCTTTTGCTCCTAAAAACTCTGACTGTGCACACTGACTGTGTTCAAGCTGTTGTAATTTCTTACATAGTCCTTGCTATACATTTGATTGTCCATCACTGAGATGTGGATCTTCATGCTGTTACCTAGATGTGGGTTAGGAGGCGTGCCTGGGACACATGCAACATGCCTGTTCAACTCACAGCACAGTTACATTGTTCAGAGCTTTACCACCCTGGCTGTGAGAATTTCTATGAGCTCTGGCAATGGTCATGTATGACATACAGCTTAAGCAAGGGCTTGTCTTCCTACCCATAACAAATAAATCTGAAGTAGTCATTGACAAAATACAAAGTTTTCCTCTGCGTTTTCTTAAGTGATGTAAGCATGTTAAAATTAATGTGTGAAATCATAGTTTAAAACTCACTAACTTCCACATATAACCATTAGCTTCAGCTTATAGCCATTTCCAGATAGTGAAAATAATTTCTTAAAATCTTTGTGTCTTCAGAAGCTCTATATCATAGTGTTCATAAGGACAGTACATCCAGGTGTATATTCTGCACTACAGTGTACCTGCTACGAAAAATGTCTCATGCTTATTTATTGATTTGGGAATGAAGTGATAAATTCTGTGAAAACAGTTCATTCATTTCATATGCTTTGTATAAATCAGTTTATTATGATTTTCTGTTTGAAAGTTTTTGTCTGAATAAAGAAATTATTCATTTTCAATTGTTATTAATGGCATGTCAGAATGAGTGAGAAAGAGCTGGTCATTGTGGCTTATGAGAAACAGCAGGCCAAGTGAAAAATATTACATGGTTTTATGGATATTTCCATAAACTTCTGCTTTTGATACATTAATTTTTCAGGTAATTGAAAAGAAAGTGATCAGTATGACTGTTTTGTAAATGTAAGAGCCTTGATGGTGTTTATTAATAGAAATACATAATTTAGGTACAGAAATAGAATTTATTGTTGTTCATGATACTTTTCATGTAAAAATAAACTCTGAAAATTTACTAATATAGTAACATTTTTCTTCAATTTTTTCCCAAGTTCTTTGATGTAATCTCAACCACTGAGAAACCATTGTCTGAGCAAGACTGGTATCATGGTGCAATTCCAAGAATAGAAGCCCAGGAGCTATTAAAACAGCAAGGAGACTTCTTGGTGCGAGAGAGCCACGGGAAACCTGGTGAATATGTCCTTTCTGTGTTTTCAGATGGACAACGGAGACACTTTATCATACAATATGCTGATGTACGTCTCTGATATAGTACTGAATATTCAACTTAGGACCTACGTAGTTTACTATAGCAAATGGATTTAGCCTTTATATGAAAATACAAAAGCTGTGGGAAATATTTCCATCAGTGCTGAAATCAGGGGAAAAGGTCATTTTGGGAAACAAAGGAAAAATGTGAAGTATCAGGTTATTCAATTTCTTTTATCCTATTGATATTTTTATTATTGAAAAGACAAGATATTTCTGTCTATGTTTTGAAATCTAGAACTTGTTACTATTAATTTATGCATGTACCTTTATGTATTTTTAAACCTATTTACATAGTCGGTGCCAATTAGACTACTTTTAATTCAGACAATAAAGATTCAGCTGAATCTTCCTGAAGAATGGAAACAGTTATGGAGAAGAAAGTAATCAGTGTTGGTTTTATACAGTTGGGAATTGAAGTCTCTGCTGCACTAGAGGGGCTTATGTTCTTTTTAGCCCTATGGTTACTGTTTTTTTCAGTATAACACAAACGCTTATGGATGTTGCACAGTGTATATGCTTCTAAGGACCAGAATTGACCGCCCTTATTGCTCTAACTTAAGAAAAATTGGTGACTGAATTAGCAGTATGTTATATTGTTATATGCCTTTATCCAGTGTATTTCTTTTTATTCTACTTAATGCATTACTTGTTTTTTTAATGTATATATTTTTCTTTTTACCTTTCAGAATTTTAAACTTACTAAAAATGTGACATTTCACATAACATAACTGGAAATTTTTCTTGAAGTGTGACATTGCAGCAAATCATTCTCAGTTATGATTCAGTAATGCTGTCTCTTCAGTGTCTTGTAATAAAAGTCTCCCACATACAAAAAAATACTCACATTCAATCACATAATGATATTTACACTGAGGGAATTTCCTTGTCTAAATCCCCAGCAGATGCAGCATGCCTGGGGAACTCAATATTGTGTACCTGCTCTATTTCCTTTTAATGAGAGGCAGTAATATTTTTCAAACTTCATAGAGGTTGGAAGGCTTCTATAGGATCAATGATTATGGACACTTGTCATGGCTGGAGTGTTCATTAGTTCTCACCTACTGTTTTCTTTGTGGAAGTGAACATTTGCACATAGTCAGTGTTTATTTTATTTTGATTTTATGACCTTAAAGTATTTTGATGTATCAGAGTGCTGAATGAGAAAATAAGCAATAAAACTACCTCTACATAGACACACAGAATCTTACAAGATGCTTGGTGCTCTCTGATCTGACCCAGCAGATATAAACGCGCATTGTATTCTTGATGTGACTGAAGTAATTTTGAGCAAATCATTTTGGTAGGGATGTTGGAGGAGAGTGTAGTGCAAGGGATTTGTTTGTTTGCACAGATATGAAAAATGTGGAATCAGGTCTCTGTGACTGGTGAAACCACACTCTTGGATCACTGGCAGACCCCCATATTTTCTTCTGAATCAAGCACTGAAGATGAGAGTGGGACATTTGTTTTAACAGTGATCCTTTAGTTGCATAAGTGTTCTCTCTCTAGTTTTACCCTTATTTTGAAATCTAATCTTAATATAACTATGTGTGATAAATTACTTTATCATTCAGCTTTTAGGCTGAATTAATTCACTGCTGTCCATTCAAGGCAACTGTTGTCTTCGCTTCTGCTTGCTTGAGGCTGTGGCATTGTAAAATTGTTGTTTGTTAGTGATTTTAATAACGGTCACGATGCAGTGTAAACACACAGAATCAAAGGACGCTGTCTGCCCTGAGGGTTTTACATAAATGGCAGCAGATGGGCATGTGGCTGGGTCTGGGATGAGGAAATCATGGGCAGTAGTGGCTGTTGTGCTGAGGAGACACTTCGGACATCAGGTGTTTTGGATCATCAGCACAGAATTATGAAGGAACTTATTTGAAAGGAATGGGAACTAGTGTTAGTGGTCAATCGAATTGTAGTCATTATTTAATAAGCAACAAAATACCAACACAAAGTATTCAGTCCATGGAAAGATTTTATGATGGAGATCCATGAATGTTAAAAGCAGGTGATATGACCAAGCTGTCTACTAAAAGCAACAACATGTTTCAGGAAGGTAATGTTTTAACCCTCAAGAAACACAATAAACTTAAAATGCACTGTGAAAGGAATTTAACCCTGGGGGTTAGAAAGAAAACCATCTGCATGCCAGTGGTAGAGGTTTTCATTGCCCAGTTGTGTAAATGAACTTGAATCACCATCTGTGCTTTTGAGTTTTTTTAATTGCAGTACTTGTTCATTGTCAGGCTGGCTTATGGCAGCTACTTGTGGGAAGAGCTCTCTAACTGTAGATGCTGAGTTTTGTGAAAGCACAAGGCTTTCTTATATTTCACCATACTTCTCTTTGAATCACATGCCTGACTTGCCTTTATCTTTAGCTGCTTTAGACTCTTCAGGTTTATACTCCTGATTAAAGACCAATCATGTATTGTATACTCTGTGCCAGGTATTTATTAATTCAAATATTATAAATGCAGTAAGATCAGATTAAGACAGTATTACTTGCCTCCTGTTTATTTTATTGTCAGATTTTTTAGTTTGCTGTCACTATTCTTAGAACTTGAAGTAATTCAGAAGGTGGTGTTTTTTCTGGTTTAGAATATTTTTATTTCAGTATGTCATAGTTTTAAGTTTAACTGTCCTATCTATTTAAATTAAGAGTTTAAATAGTCATTTTATCATGCTGCCTTAAATGAGTGATGCAGTAATTTAGCATTTATTAATTTGTCATCTTCCTGACTGTCATTCCTTGTAAGTCAGTAGAAATACTATTTAAAGATCAGAAAATGAATTTAATTCTGTAAAAGTGAGCATTGCTTTCTTACAAGTTGGGAAAATTTGGTGATGCACTTTTGCAGTTTCTTGCTAGAAATATTGCTTGTAGAGAAATAATTATTCCCTTTTATGTCTTTACAGAATCAATATCGTTTTGAAGGAACTGGTTTTCCAACTATTCCTCAGCTCATAGAACATCATTACACAACAAAGCAAGTCATTACAAAGAAATCAGGTGTTGTTCTGCTGAATCCTGTTGTTAAGGTAATGCATACATTCCAAGAACTTTATTTAACTGAAAATAATTTTGGGGTGTTTCTGTTGTTATTTCAAATATAGTCCTGTGCAACTTCTCAGAAGATTTTTCATTTTTGCTCATTTTGTGACTCTGTTTCTGAGCTTTTTGAACCTTTTCAGCTGTGTGCAGTATATTAATTTAAAATTACTCTCCATTTTGATCCTTGTAATAAATTTTTGCTATCTTGAAAGAATGGCATTCAACATCTTAAAAAGTATCCTCCTACTTTTTCTTTGGTTTCCCATTTGGATTTCAATACTAAGTAATTCAAAGTAGTAGTTCATTGCTCTTCCCTCCATAAAGGAAGAAATTTCTATTATATAATAGTGTTCTATAAGTGGTGACAGTCTCATGAAATTTGGAAGACTAATGACAACTCCTTTTTGTCTCTGTTTTATATCTCAAAAATAAGTTATATGGACACAGAAAAAGGTACTGACACTCCAACATAATTGAAAATTTAAAATAAAAATTCCCTTTTTAATCAGGAAGCTATTGCAGAAAGTCTTTCAGGAGGAAAATGAAAAGGGATAAGTGTTAAACTATATAAGTGTTTTAAGAGCCTCCTTGACTTCTTCCAGTATTTTTGCAATTAGTATCTATTTAGTTGATATTTCGTTCATATGCCAACTCCACTTGTGTCTCTGGATCTTAACTATAGGTAAACCTTCTTGATTTATTTTTTTAAGACTGGTCTCAAGCCCGTGTTCAACAAAATTTTGATGTTAGCTACATGATTTGAATTTCTTTAGACCAGCTGTTCTCAAAAATATTTAAATTGTTTTGGTTTGTAATGGCTTTTGCTCTGAGCTATGATTTTATGGTGATTTTAGTTCTCCCATCTGACAAAAACTAGATGATGTATTCTGAAGAAGTATTTCAGAATGAAGAGAAAGAGTGTTATGAGCTTTGCTTTTTAATTTCCTTGGAGCTCTGGCTTTCATACAGGAAAGTAAAGACATTTTAAGTTGTTTTCAAAAATAGCATATGCACTCTGACACCTAGTGTTGGGGGTAATTTATGCATCATGTACTATTACCAAAATGTCTTTGATCGTTTCCTTAAAATTCATTTGACATCTGCAATGACTGGTTTTTCTTTGTTCGATTTATAACTGCAGAGCAGTCTTTGTCATTTTGTGCAATCTTTAATCTTTTTATGCAAATTGCTGTCCCTGTAATAACCTATTTAGAAATTGAAAGTTAAATATGGCAGAGAACTTCACAGAAAAAAAAGTTATGCTTTTTGGTTTGTTTTTGCTTTCCTTCCTTCCCACAGTCATTCATCCTCCTTTACCGTATTAGTAAAATTAGTGTTCACCTTCTGAGACATTGCCCTTGAAAGAACAGTCTTAATTGTGTCACAAAAGGCCTGTCCCATGCCCCATTTCATGTAGACCAAATCTGCCTGCTTGGAATTTTAATGATACTGTTATAATAGAATTTAAATTAGAAAAACTGAGGGCATTAAAAAAGATATCTGCAAGTGACTTCTTTAATGGAAAAATCTCTCATATTTATTTATAATCTTTCAGAAAATATGTGCATAATGTTCTTCAGTTTGTTATTGATGGATTGACTGGTATGTAAAGCCCCTGGGTAACCTCAGTGCATACCCAAGGTCTTTGTAAGTAGAAATGCTATTTTAACTGTATTAGATGTATTTTAAATTTTTAAAATCTTTGACCTCATGTTGTGGAAGTTTTTAAATTTTTTGAAATACATTTTTTTATGCTGAAGAAATCTGTGTGAAGTTGTGAATATGCTTCAGTTTGACTACTAGAAAAGAGAATAATCAAGAAAATAAGGAATGCCATTTTTATTTAGGTGTATCTGCATTAATGTTTTCATTTGGATCAGAAATACACCTTTAAAGCAAGTCTGCCCGGTGCCATTAGGATGCTGTGCCTCCACCACTGAGCAGTCTCTGAGGATTCACTTTATTCCTTTCAGCTGAAACAAAATAGGAACATGCACAACTCTTATGGGAGGGCTCTCAGTTTTCAGAACCATTATTTCTAGCCTGAAATAATGCTTTCCCCCCAAATATATGCTTCAGATCCTGATCACCAACTGATTCACTCTGGAGATCTGCCACTGTTTCACTAGTGCTAATATAGTGCTAGTATTTGCATCCTCTGTGATGTGGCTTTGTACCTTTCGTGTACATGGGAGAATGATGGACCATAAATGTTGAGATGAATGAAAAGTGTTAAAAGAAAAAAAAATAGATATTTCTTAGTTGTGCTTCTAATGTAGATAAATAAGTTTGCAAATTATATGATAAGTTTAGGGAGATCTGATGCTGTCTTGCAAGATATGTGTATGTTAATGAGTTAGACATATAAAGAAATGGGGAAGAATTACAAATTTAAGTTAGAGAGGTTCTTTTCATGAAAATGCACTCATAAAATCTGATGTGACCCTAATTTTTCAGTCACTGAACCAATTTGAAGATGGGAAGCATAAACAATCTATATGCTTCATGTTTCAGCTTCTTAGTAGTATCACAGAACTGACAATGACTCCCTTAATAATTAGTTAATGTACAATTATCCATGCAAAGGTAACCGAAAGTTGTTTTCCTGGCTTTTGGCTCCCCTTAGTGTTGGTTGGTTTTTCTGCTGTTTCGTTTGGCTTTGCTTTATTTTGCCAAAGCAAGCTGAAGTTCACTTTTGCAACTCTACCCTGGCTAGATCTGTAGCTCCAAAGAAGATATCTGAGTTACCTGCATGATACTCAAAGGCTTTGGCCAGATATTCTGTAGGAATGCTGAGAAGCACCTGGCAGTCGTGATCTCTGTGTGTTGGTTTTTGGCCCAAAGCTGCAATTCTTGTGATTTTAATTAAAGTCTAATTACATGTATTTTTAAATGATGAAATAAATCTGTAATTTTCTTTAAGAAAATTGAACTCACAGTTTGGAAGTGTCATGGTTTGAAAAGCCTCAAAATCCAATTCCTGATCCCTAGCCCCCCTCCCACATCTCAACCCCATGTGAGGTGGGTTTTCCAGACAAAAACACAAGACTCAATATGGGGGGAAAGGAATATATTACAGGACTATACAACAAATAAATAGTATAATACATTACATATTATCTTAACTCTATATCTATCTCTACCATGACAATAATATTTACAGTGGGCCAAATCTCTTCTCCCTCCAAATAAAAGTCCAGGAGAGAAGAAGAAGAAAAGACCCCTTTCCAGTCTCTCAGCAGCAGGTCTCTCTAGGCAGCAGGCTCTCTGTGTCTTTTCATGAAGCAGTTGCTTCTGTGTCTTTTCATGAAGCTGGATCCTTGCCAATCCATACGAGGGAGGCCTCCAAGCCTCTCTTGGCCCCTCGACGCCAAACGAAGGGTCTTTCTGTGGACTGCATAACCCCAGACAAGGTTGCTGCACCACGGTCATATCACGAAGCACAGGGGTCTTCGTGACGGTCTGGTATCCTCAGGGGAATTCAAGCCCCTATACCGAGCTTCTGTGCTCTGCCTCAAGATGGCTGCCAGCTTCTCTGGGGGGGGCCCAAGGTCACCCCACACACACATTCCTTTGGCCGTCCTGGCTTAGCCCTCAGAAGGCCAGAGCTTCTTAGCTCCTCTCTGCAGTGCATACTGCACCCCAAGACTCTTTCAAGTGAGTCCAATCATCCTCCTCTCTCTCGGAGGAGTCTCCAGGGAGTTTGGGGGGTGTTGGTTGTTTAGTTCTTACCCCCTGAAACTCTGTTCCTGCTGCTAGCTCGGTTCTCTTCCTGCTGCTGCTTTCCTTTTCCTCAGACAACTTTGTGTCTGCCTTGGCTGCATACCGGCTTCTGCTGTTTCTTCTTATCTGCTTGGCTCTTTGCCACTGCTCTTCGGACGCTGCTGTCTCTACTGCTGCTCCGTCTGCCCACTCACAGTGGAGAAAACTCCTCCAACTTCTCAGCCTCAGGCACTTAGCCCAGTTCAACACCATTCCAAGTCCCCATAGCCCCCGAGCCGGGGCTGGGGGGAGGCAAAGCCCCCAAGGGGCCCTGAGCCCCTTCCTCGTGGCGTTCACAACATGGCCACCACTTCTTCAACAAGTACCACTGCTTCTTTTCCGGTCCAGAGAGATATGTTTATGTTTTTCAGGAGCACTGATTGGGTCAAACCCCAAGGGTCACCACCCCCTGGAGGTTACCACTTTTAGCTTCAGGGGGAAAACCTGGTTCAAACCATTACAGGAAGTGAGTGTTTATAATATGTAAAAGATGTACTTACACAAAATGGATTTATTTATTGTATATTAATTAAATGATTCAATAGTCTGCAGCTATTGTCATTTGAGCAGAATTTCATATCTTAATACTAGCAGTGCATTTCAGTTATGTTCCTATTTCCTCAGAATTTAGAGAAATGTTACAGAATTTGCTTTTCAGATTTTGTAGCAGAAATGATTACAATATTTCTGTCATGTAACAAAATGAATGCATTGTTCTTAATGGAGGCCTATTCTTGTCAAGGCATGTCATCCTGTTGAGAAAAGGGAAAAAGGAGAATAATTTGCTCTTTGTGCTAGCAAAGTGCTAAATCAAATTCATGTATAATTTCAGGTATATTGACTACTTTCAAAATTAAAAGGATTTATTTTCTCAAAAATTCTTATTAAAATGCATTGTAATAATGGAGGCTCAAAGAGTAACAAAGATTGTGTGATAGTCTTGATAGTGATCGAAGGGTTTTGTAGCTTTTTTTTCTGAAGACCATGGCTTTAAACATCTGCTCTAGTCAGTGTTTCTGGTTCAGTCTTGTCTTTATGGTATTTCTTTCCATGATCAGGTTTAGATTAAAATTTGAAGATAAGACTCTTAAAGGGTGTAAGCATTATGCTCAAAACTGGAAAAAAAATATGTTTTATCAAGTATATGAATTTCATTTTAGCAAACACAGTGTAATTTTTGACCAATCTCTTAAAGAAAAATCTCTGTCCTAGAAATATTAAATGG